GCCCTCAACCCCCAAACCCCCCCCCACCCTTCCGCCCTCTGGTCGGACGGGATCGGGAAAACCGCGACCAATTCGCGCCCGTCGACACAATCGGGTCCGAGGGGATGGAATTCGCGGAGCTGTAGCAGGGATAAAGGGATCCTCATGATATGTTTGTCTTTGCCTTTGCAAAACCAGCAAAACGCTAGTCCGGATGTTTTCATCCTTGTTGGTCATGCCTTTTCCTTTCCGGCCATACTAAGGAAGTACGGCGTATGAGAACCCGGATGTAGCCAAATTTCTCCCTGAAAAATTTGTTTTTGGAAAAAAGGAGTCCAGACTCTTGAAAACATAGACAAGAAAAAATACTCATGATTCAATCGGACTTTTGCTTGAATCAAAACGAAATCCGCTTAAATTAAGAGGCTTGATTCTTGATTTAAGCTAGATTCTAATTGATTCAAGAGTACTTTTTCTTGTCGATGTTTTTAAGAGTCTGGACTCTAGATCCAATGTGTGTTTTTTTTTTTTTTTCCAGTGTATCTTTATTGGAGCGTCACTTCAGAATGATCTTTGAGGAGGGCACGCTGGAAAAGACTGGTGGTCGCAATAACCAAAACAGCCTTTTTTTCAATTCTTACAGGATATTTTTCAAACCTCTGGTGGCTGGTCGTTACGTTGATAAATGCTCGAGGAAGTATCAGCCATCGAAACACAAGTTCGTAACGCGAGCAACTGACCCACCAAATCATGCAACGCGCATGCGCGCACGAATCATCCCGAGCGCCCAATCGTAACGCAAAACCGCGTATAAACATAGGATATTTCCAGGCGATACGCGTTTTTTGGTCAGGAGGGCAGTGACAATCACTCGCGACGGGCTTTCGGCGAATTGGGGAGAGCGAAAGTCGGCCTCCCATCGGTATCAAACATCGACGTAATTTATGCGACAGCTTTTACCTTCTTGTTCTTCCTCTTTTTCCGCGTGCGCGGATTTTTATTCGCGACAAGACAAGACAAGACAAGACAAGACAGGCTCGCGAATTTGCAACCATCGCCCGGATTCCCAAGATTTACTGCCGAAGAAAGATGGCGAGAAAAAATTTCGGCGCCCGCCGCGCCGCCACCACGCAGTCGCACAGGCGAGCGCAACGAAGATACGAAACCTCAAAACGCTAGTATCTTCATTAATTCAAAACGCAGAGGTTTAAAAGTACTTCCATTGTTTGTGTCGTAAAGTTTCCCCCAAGAATCACCCGTTGAAACTTTTCGTGTGACGGAATTAACGTCATATTTTGAAGTTTTAGTAAAGTGGTGTGATGTCTCGATGGCTGTCCCACTGTGCGACGGCCCGCCCGCGATGGAAAGTAAAAGTGTTGTCCGAGGCCGTTTGGAGAGACAGATTCGGAGGACCTGCAAAGGTGCCGAATTTCACAAAAGTCTTCATTATCCTGTGTCAATTAACGGAATTTTTACGGGAAATGCTGCCGCGCTAGGAAAGAACACCGTATGAACCATCAGGCGTTGCCAAATTTCCCTCGACAAATCACGAATTCTCAGGAAAATTTGTGAATATTCCCTCTCCAATTTTGTGGAGGATTTCGTCTGTAATTTTATCTGACATATCTGAAAATTTCAAAGGAAATTATGAATAATTTTTACAGGAAATACGTATTTTATGCGGGGAAATTTGGCAACGCTCGAATGTTCATACGGCGTTTTTCCTTAGCACGGCAGCAGAATGGGTCATTAAAGAAGAGCGCGGGTCAGGTTTTGAAGGAACTGAACTTTTCCGAAAGCTGACTTAATTTCATATAATTGGACCCAGAGGAGGAGAACAGCTTGACGACTTCTCATTTTTAAGAGATCGTAAGAGCTGGTTTTCGTTAGAGTACGTGTACAAGTTGAGTACGGACATGTCGGTAATTTTGAAGTTAGGCCATGGAGCTGCCATACCTATGGATTCAATTAATCTATAGTGATATATTATTCCAATTGTGTTACGACCCGTTGCTCGTAAAACAAGTATTTGAGACTTAATTACTGCATAAATTTACGGATTTTTGCGGGAAAACGCTCATTGATGAACATTCTTGGCCTTCTTGGTTTGATATTGGAATGAGGATTGGTATTGACATTTTTTATGTTGGAAGGTTGGCTGCCCTTTAGGGCCCTAATCGATCCATATTTCGACGTGTCCGTACTGTTCTTATATCGCAGTTTCCGAGACGAAGGAACATAACGCCATCCGAAGGTTGAAAAGTTGATTTTTGTACAAATATGTACATGCGTGTGATTTTTGTCTTAAAATATTTTTGGATTTCTGCATGAGATCAGAAGAAAAATCGGTAAAATTTACGGTTGGCAATGCCCGAAACTTCCCTGGTAAAAATGCAATTTGACGGGGGAAATTTGGCGACATTGAAAGGTAATTACGTTTTTTCTTGAGGGAGACAACAGTATGGGCACCCTGGTTTTCGTCCCCCTGGAATAATTCTTCAAGTGCGGTCATTTCTTGGAATTTTGCAGGTTACACTGAAAAAAAATTCTCGGCGTTTTTACCAAGGTTCGTTAGTACCTTTACCATCTCACTTTTTTTTTACCAATTATGGGTAATTTTACCAAGACAGACTGGTAAGCTTACTTAAAAACCGGTATTTTTACTATTTTTTTCAGGTAAGAATACCGCTTTTATAGGTAATCAATTCCCGGTAACTTTGCCATTTTATTTCGGTAATGCTACCACAGTCGATAAAAAATATTGACGTTTTTACCAAGGTCCAGTAAAATTACCGAGAAAGTTCAATAATTTTACCGAGATTTCTCGGTAAACTTACCAATTCCATAAATGGTAATTTTACCAAGAAAAAACTGGGATCAAGTAGAACCCGGAATTCTTGGTAATTTTACCCTTTTCTTAGTAAATACACCGAGATTTTTTTTCAGTGCGACCCCTGGGATAATTCTTTAAGTGCAGTCATTTCTTGGAAATTTTGCAGGTTATGCAAACAGGTTCTTACCCAAATCGACAACGGTAGAAGATAAAAGAAGAGGAAAATATTTAAATTCTCTCGAGACGCGGCAACTGAAGACCTGTTACTGTAGCCAACGAACCGGACAGTTATTGAACGGGAGAGGTCGTCCAAATACGTTTGTCACTGGTTGAGAACTCCGTGAAAAAATCAAAAGACGATGCCCAACAGTGGTACGGTGCACCTATCAGATGCGATCTCAATGAAGTGGACATTTGCTTGAGGCCTCGGAGAAATTTAGGGTTGTTTAAACGTATGATATAAGTTGTAAGGATTATTTTACGCGATTATTTTCCTTAAGATCATGTGGGCTGAGAATAAGTGAAAGAAATCAAGTTATATCAAGATCCACCCGAGAAAAGGAGGTTCGAAGTTTCATTCCGCGACGAGACAAAATTCAATGGCTACCGTATATTTGCTCTCGACTTCGAATATTGACGGCAGAAAACGTACAGAAAATCTTCTGAACGCCGGGTAAAAGTCTCTTGGATCTTGAGTCAAGATTCATAAAACTTCAGTTACTTACGTTCATTTTGTCTATTTTGTCTCGAGGAGACTGGAGCGATATGAGTGCGAAGTGGAGTATACTCTACTTGAAAAACAAAGGTCTATTGGATCCAGAGTCTGGACTCTTTAAACATTTGACAAGAAAAAACACCCTGTATTCAATCGAATTTTTGCTTGAATACAGAGCGAAGCCTCTTAAGTTAAACGTGTTTCCTTAAGGCACGATCAACGATCGATGCACGTACGCAGTTTAAAGCTTGTCGATCAACTCTTAAAAGCGAGGATAATTATTTGATTAACTTTAGTGTTAGTTGTATTGGTTTAGACTTCATCACTAATTATTATCATAGAAATAACCATTATCTGCAAGTACACACAAGTATACACAGGGGAAAAAAAAACACATTGGATCTAGAGTCCAGACTCTTGAAAACATTGACAAGAAAAAATATACTCTTGATCCAGTCGGATTTTTGCTGGAATCAAAACGAAATCCGCTTAAATTAAGAGACTTGGTTCTTGATTTAAGCTAGATTCTGATTGAATCAAGAGTACTTTTTCTCGTCGATGTTTTTAAGAGTCTGGATTCTTGATCCAATGTGTTTTTTTTTTCCAGTGTACTATAGCATAACTGAAAGTAATTTTGAAAATTCTGTACGGCCTTTAAAAGGACGTTTGAATGAAATTGATCCTGTCGAAATGGAGCTTTAAACTGCATCGCTGAGCAGAAAATTGACGTGATCAGTCTTGTGTGGCAGTGACATTGATCTCTCGTTGGGCGTCATTTTTTGAAGTTATCATTGTGTGCATTCTTATCTGCGTAAATTTTTGATGAGGAAACGTTAGATGCTGTACCGTGATTCAGACTTTGACTACTAGTCTAATTTATATGGGTCACCGTGTCAGGCTTAAGCGTCAGTTTGAAAGGTAACGAGCGATGTTTGAACAACGGCTCTCATCAAAAATATTTTTTGGAGCGAAAGAATTAAAACATCTTGAAAATAACGGACCCTGAATATCGGCCACACTGGAAAGAAAACACATTGGATCTAGAGTCGAGACTCTTAAAAACATCGACAAGAAAAAACACTCTTGATTCAATCGGATTTTTGCTTAAATCAAGAACCAAGCCTCTCAATTTGAGCGGATTTCCTTTTGATTCAAGCAAAAATCTGATTGAATCAAGAGTATTTTTTCTTGTCAATGTTTTCAAGAGTCTGGACTCTGGATCCAATGTGTTTTTTTTCCAGTGTGTGGATAAGAATTGGGATTTTGGCTCCTCAATTATTCATTTGGACGGTTTTCTTAACACTGGAAAAAAATCTCTTGGGTCCGAAGTCGTGCAGACTCTTAAAAAATTTGACAAGAAAAAATACTCTCGGTTCAATCGGATTTTTGCTTGAATTAAAAGGAAAGCCGCTGAAATTAAGAGTCTTCGGGCTCCATCTCAGCAAAAATCCGATTGAGTCGAGAATATTTTTTCTTGTCGATTTTTTTAAGAGTCTGGACACTAGACCCGAGAGGCTTTTTTCCAGTGTAGAGTGAACATGATTAAGTTTTTGGTAATTAGTAAGCTTTGAAGCTGAAAAGCTCGACTGATGAAAATATGAGAAAATTGGAGCATTCATTCTTTAAATCGTAGGTATTGAAGGCTATAAAAGACGGCAAGTTTTTGGAAACTTTGGGTAGAATGAAAACGTCGAAAAGCGTTCAAATCAAAAAATTAATTTGAAAAACCTCGATTCCGAGACTTACATTTAAATAAAAATAAAAAATAAAAAAAAAAAAAAAAAAAAAAAAAAAAAAAAAAAAAATAATAAACCTGAAAATATACTTCCAGCACATTACTCGTGTCTTTTCAATACATCTTCTTACCTGGTCTCATTGATTGAAAGAGGGCATCCACCTGATTTGACAGTTAAGGGGATCCCTTCATAGATAAGTTACGCATGCAGTCTCAAATAAGTATATTTCGCTCACCTGAAACAAAATAAGAATTTCTGGGTTAGTACAAAATAAGAGTACAGCCGGTTTCAATTTGTTAAATTCTTGTATTTTTAATGATTTTCGCCCCTCTTTGTGCCAAAATTGATACCTTAGTTGACCCACATGCCGAACGTGATGTTTCAAATTTTTTCTCGTACCAATATAATTTTTATAAAGGATCGATGGTTATCACATCGTGGCACATTGGTGGCTAAAACCATAACTGCGAGTATTTGAGCTTGGACTTATAAGGTCTACATGGTTCATTTTGAAATGGAGTTAGGTCCTTACATCAACTGAGCGACAAAATTCGAGAGTAGACAGCGAGACTCCGACTCCGCAAAGCTACCACGCTAAGGAGAAACGCCGTAAGACCCTTCAGACGTTGCCATACATCCTTCGATAAAATATCAATTTACTGAGAGAATTGTGAAAGTTCTTCTGCCAATTTTTTTAAGACGACTCTATTCCTGATATAATCTAAAATATCTGAAAATTTAAAGTAAAAATATGCATAAATTTCCTCGGAAACAAATATTTTGTCGGGAGAGATTTAGCAACAGTTGAATGCTCATAAGGGGTTCTTCCTCAGCACGGCATAATGTGGGTGCGTGTTTCCCGACACGGGCAATCGATGCGGAATTCACACTGACGTAATTCCCGTTGCATTACTCGATGGTTTTATTCGAGCGCTAGGTTAAACTGCCCCTGAATTCCCCACGTCATATTTTGGAAAATTTCAGAGAGAAAAGGGATCTGTCGTTAATCACGCTGTGCAGTACCAAAATTCATGAGCATTCATCGTCCACCAATACCATCTACCCATAGCTTTCAAACGTTGCGAAATTTCCTTTGGTAAATCACGAATTTTCGGGAAAATTTGTAAATATTTTTCCTTCAATGTTTCAGATAATTTTGTTCGCAATTTCACCAAAACTTCTTAAGAATTTTAATGACAAATACCCATGGCTTCCTTGAAAAATAAATATTTTATTGAAGGAAGTTTGGCAACTCTTGAATGTTCATGCGGCGTTTTCCCTTCAAATTTCACGAGGCTGTGAAATATTTTATATTTTTCAGGGGCTAGGGTATGCAACCCGCACTCTGCCGCACGAAAATAGAAAAAAGTCACAATTTTTACGTTGTTTAGGTGCGATATCTTTCATAAATTTCTGACATTTCATGAAATATTTCACATGAAATTTCAAGATTTTATTTTGTATGGAAAATACCCACCTTAGAAGAGCATACCTCTATTCCACTTACACTGGAAAAAAAGCCGCTTCGATCTAGAGTCCATACTCTTGAAAACAATGACAAGAAAAAATACTCTTGATTCAATCGGATTTTTGCTTGAATCAAAAGGAAATCGGCTTAAATTGAAAGGCTTATTTCTTGATTTAAGCAAAAATCCGATTGACTCGAGAGCATTTTTTCTTCTCAATGTTTTTTAGAGTCTGGACTCTAAATCCAAGCGACTTTTTTACACTCCAGTGTACTTTCTACTCCAGTGTACCTTGGCTTGGGTCGTATTTACCGAGGCCAAAATTTGGACGAACGTGTTTTAGATTCATAAGTTGAGACGATCATCGATGAGCGGGCGCCGATGAAGCGAATTTCGCCGAAAGGGAGAGCGAGGAGAGGGCCGAATCGAAAGACGGAAGACGGAGGGAGCAGGAAGGAACGGTGATAGCGGGCCCGGGCCACTGTAATTAGTGGGAATAAACTCTCGGATTTGTTTTGGGCAATCAAAAAAAGAAAGAGGCGCGCAACAAACTGGAAGCCAGCCGCGAAGAGGCGGCGCCACCGTTGCCGGCTCCTCGGATATTCGGGATATTAACCGCACATCTCCTAACCAGAGATAGAAAATTTCGTGAAATTGATTCGCGTGAAATTTCATATGTGAAAATTCGAGGAATAGAGATGTTGCATGTGTGAGGAATTCGCGATTTGACCATTGATTCTCATGTAAAAGTTCGCGAGAAACACGATGGTGTCACTGGTTTTCTCTGAAATCAACTCTCAAGCTCAAGAAAAGCTCTCAAGTTGAGGCCAAAATGGAGGGGATATCCCACCTTACCCTGAGAGTCCACCTCTACATCAGGAAAAACTCTCCGTGTAAAAATAGGGAGCAAATACATTAGCAGTGATGCCACCTCATTTGAGGACTCCAAATCAGAAAACACGGCATCACTGCTAATGTATTTGCTCCCTGCATGAAGAGTTTGTCTTGATGTAGAGGTGGACTCTCGGGATGGCGTGGGATATCCCCTCCATTTTGGCCTCAACTTGAGAGCTTTTTTTGAGCTTGGGAGTTGATTTCAGAGAAAACCAGTGGCACCATCGTGTTTCTCTCGAACTTTTACATAAGAATGAACAGTCAAATCGCAAATTCCCCACACATGCATGATTTAGTTTCATTCAGAGGTTGAGGTGGGGCTTTTTCCCCTAAACTCCCCTTTTACCCCCTTCCTCTTCGTGACACCCCAGATTTGCATTTTGCAAATTCAGCAATATTTTCCGGTTGACACCAATATGCGATACCATATGATTTAATGTTTACTACTACCATACGGCTGGATGAAATCCGTTTCAACTGGGTTCATTAGTTGGATCCCCGAACCGCACCGAGCAACGGTACCCGAGAACGATCCGATGCACTGTGGGTCGAGTCAATAAGAGATGCCGGAAAAAATTTGGGAACTTTATATGCTCACAACTCCGTTTGCACGAAACTTTGAGGTTCTATAAGTGGTTACATTGGTTTCCTCTTAAAATTCCCTGTCAGTGTCACCCCTTGAATGTCAAAATTTGACGAAAAAAGACATTAAAATTTGCAATTTAAATCAAAGATTTCAAGTCCTACCTCCCCGATCGACTCGGTCTACCGTGCGGCGGGGCGCCGGCCGTTGATAAAAACCTCTTGACGAGATCAGAGGAGATATAATTGCACGGAGCGAGGCAGCCGAGAACCCAGCAACAAAAATGTTTTCAGCGGCTGGATCGGGGGGCGGGGGGGGGGGGGGGGGGGGGCGCGCGTCGAGGCCGCTTTCTCCAGATCACAATCGGCCGAGCATCGCAGCCACCTTCCAAAGCTCGCAAGCTGCGAGGTATACCGCGGCGCCGGTAGGAACCGCGTATCTGCCGACGAGAATTGTGTTGATATGGGTGGTTTTGTCTCGGCGCGAAGTACGAGTCATTCGCCGATTATACAACCGCCGAGTCCTACACGCTGGCTCGCTCCTTTTGCGACGCAGTTGTCGGTGCTCGCGAGGCCTTTCCGGCGAACGCTCGCGCGAGTAAAACACTCGTCGTGAATTCTAACTCGCGGCTCGCGGGCCACGAGAGGGATACGAGTGAGAGCTTTCCAGGGGATCGGGCACTGGATAGGGTGAGAAACAGTACGGCGAGACAAGTCTCCTCATTCTTAATGGCAAAATGTAGTAAAATTAGTCAGAGCAGAATTCCGAGAAGTCAGGTGTACAGCAGCAATAGGTTGATGAATAAAACCAATTTCTTTTTGTTTTCTTAGGTAGCCAGTGCTATGGGTTGAAATGAAGTTGTTAACTCAACTTCACTTTTGCGGTCAACAACTTCATTTTAACCATGAATAAAACCAATTTCTTTTTGTTTTCTTAGGTAGCCAGTGCTATGGGTTGAAATGAAGTTGTAAACTCAACTTCACTTTTGGAGTCAACAACTTCGTTTTAACCCATAGCACCCATAGCTACCTAACAAAACAAAAAGTTACATAAAGTCCTACAGCCATAATATTTTACATCAACACTTTAAAAAAAAAAACAAAAACAAAAAAAAAACACCCAGTAGTTGCGCAGTGCCGGTTTCGGTTACATGTGTTGAAATCATCCGATCTCCTAGTTATAGTGTACCTTTTTCGTTGTTTTCCAAAAAATCAGCTATAAACTAAAATTTCTAATATGTAGCGTTCAACTCAATATGAAAATTAATAGGACAAAAAAAAGAGGAAAAAACAAAAATAGAAGAAAAAACAAAAGATAGAAGGAAAAACAAAAATAGAGGGAAAAAACGGGGGAAAAAATTAAAAAATGAAGAGGGGGAAAAAAACAAAACAAAACAGAGCCCGAAACCTATCGACAATCCACGAGGTAATATCACGGCCGCCTGATTAGCTTCTTGACGACCCATTTGTTTCCCCTGAAAATCACGCGTCAGGCGAACGAAACGCCACCTGCCGCCGGAATCACCGCACGAGGGTCCTGTCGAGAGATCAACCCTTCAGGAGACGAGGGGCTCAAAACGCCTCATTAATGTCTCGTCGGGGGTAAACAAGCCTACTTTACGTCCGAGGCGATTCTCGCCGCGCGTGACCGTCGCGTCGGATCCCGGCCGAGGTTGAGAACCCCGAGAAAGGTTGAGGTTTACGGAAATGCAGCGGGAGCCGACGCAACAACAACGCGGAAGGGTGCGAGATTACGGAAGGGGAGGGGGCGGGGGAGGGGGTGGTCGGGACAGATGGGATCCCGGGAACAGGTTCCGGGTGCGCGATTGCGCAGGCTCCGTCTAGCGGGACCGGGACCGGGACGAGCAGGTACCCTGTACCCAGGTAGCCGATATTCAAATCCCCCGGGAATCCGCAGGTGTCGGATTGGGCCGGGTTTCGGAGCAGGGGTTGATGCCTTGGAACATGTGGATCGGCTTCTAAGGCTGTAGCCAGGGCTTACATCACGGATAACAAATGGATCATATTTTGCAAAAAGGTATCACTATCTCTGGCTCTTCCATGGAATCACATCTCTGAATAGGGAAATGAATGGCATATGTGTTGTTTTTAAAATGAGCAAGGAATGCAGGTTCCATATTCTGCCGTGCACTGCAAAAACGCCGTAAACACCATTTTACATTTTTTGGAAAGAATGCATCAAAGCAGAAAAACTTGTGTACCCTGGGACAATGTTTTTACAGAATTCTTTCACGAATACTATCCAGAACTTAAGGTAATTCGATGGACGCCA